TGATTAACTATTAACTAAATTAGACTATCCTAATTATCTAAACAAGAATTAAACCTAAAAATATTTTATTCTAAAATAATTAAATAAAAAAATATAAATAATGAACTTTGAACAGAGAAAGAGCAGATTTTTTTATGATATCAATGTAATAAAAATGATCTAGGGTTATGGGCTATCTAACAATCCTATTGTATTCTTAAATTGAATTGACCGACTAATTTATTTGGCTTATTGGTTGACAGGGTTAATATTGCTCATAAGAATCTGTCGAGTTCTTACTCGCCTATTCAAGCTAACCTTATGCCTATATGTCTATGGAGTTAGAATTAACAAGAACGCACTTATAATTCTTGTAAATCAACCAAGCAAGGCAATTAGGTATATGTCTATCCTAACCACGAATCCGTTCCCCGATGCCNCGTTTTCCTCTCAAAAACGTCCTCCCCCTCCAAAATAGGTTTAGGACCCCTTTTATACGAGTTGGGAGTGTCTAGGGCCGAAATAACTAAGTCCCGGATGAAATAGGACTAGTCCACACATCGAGCGTCCAGGGCAACACTAGGCGCTGGCCCTGGCGCTAAATCTAGTAAGTTTCACGTTTTTTTGGGCGTTCTTTCAATGCTGCCTAACTTTTCAATCTGCTTCGTTTCTCGTTCTTCTACTAAACTTTTCATTTCTTTGCAATTGTTTCTTTTGTCTTCTTTTGTAATATTAAACTTCAATCATTATATATCCAATAATTAAATAATCATGAATCCATTCTTGTAGTGTATAAAATACACATAAAATCTCTACTTTGCTCCCAATTTCATCTCCAAAATACCTACATATAAAATAAACTCAATTTAGCACAAACATAGTACAATTTAGCATTAGAATACTAAAATGTAAGGTAAGTAATGCACTAAAAATATATCATTATAGCCAGACATCAGTAGGACCCACTCTCCAATCATGAATGCAACATCACGAACCTTCCGATCTACATAACTCTTCTGTCTGGACTGGGCTGTGCGCAGTCTATCCTGAATCACCTTAACCTTCTCCAGAGCATCCTTAACCAAGTCTGTACCAAATAATCTAGCCTCGCCCGGCTCGAACCAACCCACTGGAGACCTATACCGCCTGCCATACAGAGCCTCATACGGTGCCATCTAGATGCTCGACTGATAACTGTTATTGTAGGCAAACTACGCTAGTGACAAGAACTGATCCGACGAACCCCCAAACTCCATCACACACGCACAGAGCATATCCTCTAATATCTGAATAGTACGCTCAGACTATCAGTCCGTCTGAGGGTGAAATGTCATGCTGAACTCCACTCGAGTACCCAACTCATGTTGTACGGCCCTCCAGAACCATGATGTAAACTGCGTACCCCGGTCAGATAATGATAGATACCAGTACGCCATGAATCCTAACGATCTCGCGGATATACACCCGAGCCAGTTGCTCGGAAGAATAGGTAGTCATCACAGGCATGAAATGAGTTGACTTGGTCAGCCTGTCCACAATCACCCAAACTGCATCAAACTTTCGCTGAGTCCGTGGAAGCCCAACAACGAAATTCATAGTGATCCGCTCCCATTTCGACTCCGGAATCTCTAATTTCTGGAGCAACCCACCTGGCCACTGATGCTCATACTTCATCTGCTGGCAATTTAGACACCGAGCTACATACTCCACTATGTCCTTCTTCATTCTCCTCTATCAGTAATGCTGCCTCAAGTGCTGATACTTCTTCACGGCACCCGAAGGAATGGAATATCGCAAGCTATGAGCCTCCTAAAGAATCAACTCTCTCAAACCATCTACATTGGGTACACATAGCCTGCCCTGCATCCTCAATGCACTATCATCCCCAATAGTGACCTCCTTAGCATTACCCTCTGGACCGTGTCCTTAAGGACAAGTAGATGGGGGGTCATCATACTGACGCTCCTTGATACAATCATAAAGAGAAGACCGAGAGACCATACAAGCCAATACTTGACTCGGCTCAGAAACATCCGACCTAACAAACTGGATGGATAAGGCCTAAACATCCAATGCCAATGACCTCTCTGCTGCTGGAAGATATGCTAAGCTCCCCAAACTCTCCGCCCGATGACTCAAGGCATCAGACATCACATTAGCCTTCCCGGGATGGTACAAAATAGTGATATCATAGTCCTTAAGAAGCTCCAACCACCTCCGCAGACGCAAGTTAAGATCCTTCTGTTTGAACAGATGCTGCAAACTCCGGTGATCAGTGTAAATCTCACAATGGACACCGTACAAATAGTGTCTCCAGATCTTCAAGGCATGAACAATAGCTGCTAACTCAAGGTCGTGGAAAGGATAGTTCTTTTCATGGGGCTTCAACTAGCGCGAAGCATACGCAATCACTCTGCCCTCCTGCATCAAAACACACCCAATACCGATTCGAGAAGCATCACAATACACTGTGTAAGAACCAGAAGTTGATGGTAGAACTAGAACTAGAGCCGTTGTCAAAGCAGTATTGAGCTTCTGAAAGCTCTCCTCACACTCATCCGACCACCTGAAAGGAGCACCCTTTTGGGTCAATTTGGTCAAGGGCGATGCGATAGATGAGAAACCCTCTACAAAACGATGGTAATAACCAACCAAACCAAGAAAATGCCGAATCTTCGTGGTTGAGGACGGTCTGGGCCAACTCCGAACCGCCTCTATCTTCTTCGGATCTACTTGAATGCCCTCACTGGACACCACGTGCCTTTAGAATGCCACTGAACTGAGCCAAAACTCATACTTGGAGAACTTTGCATAAAGCTTATCCTCCCTCAACCGCTGCAACACTATCCTCAGATGCTGGGTATGCTCTTCCTGGCTACGAGAGTACACCAGGATATCATCAATAAATACAATAACGAACGAGTCGAGATAAGGCTGAAACACACTGTTCATCAGATGCATGAACGTTGCTGGGGCGTTGGACAGCCCAAAAGACATCACAAAAAACTCATAATGGCCATATCGGGTCCTAAAAGTTGTCTTAAGAATATCTGAGTCCCGAATCTTCAACTGGTGATATCCTGACCGCAAATCAATCTTGGAGAACAACCTCGCCCCCTGAAACTGGTCAAATAGATCATTAATACACGGCAAAGGATACTTGTTCTTGATTATGACCTTTTTCAACTACTTGTAATCAATGCATATTCTTATAGTACCATCCTTCTTCTTCACAAATTGAACTTGTGCACCCCAAGGTGACACGCTAGGCCGAATAAACCCCTTATCAAGGAGTTCCTGAAGCCTTTCCTTCAATTCCTTCAACTCCGCCGGTGCCATACGATACGATGGAATAGAAATGGGCTGAGTGCCCGGCACCAAATCATTACCGAAGTCAATATCCCTGTCAGGCGGCATGCCCGACAGGTCTGCAGGAAACACATCCAGAAAATCTCGCACCACCGGAACAGAATCAATAGCAGGGGTCTTTGCACTAACATCCCTCGCAGAGGCCAGATAAGATAGACAACCCTTCTCAATCATCCGCTGAGCCTTCAAGTATGAAATCACTCTACTGGGAACATAGTCTATAGAGCCGCTCCACTCAACCCTTGGCAACCCCGGCATCGCCAATCTCACGGTCTTAGCATGACAATCCAGAATAGCATGACATGGAGACAACCAGTCCATTCCCAAGATCACATCAAAATCAACCATACTAAGTTACAAGAGGTCAATTCTAGTCTCTAATCCCCCAATAGTCACTACACATGACCACCACCTGATCGGCCTCCCTCTCTAGGGCAACCTCTAGCTGACTGGGCCCCACCCCGAGCTGGTTGAGCGAGTGGTGTAACAATTGGTGCAGAAGACGCAGCCTGACTCCTCTGCTGTGCTGGACCTCCCTGACAATGAGGACACTGCCTCCACACATGCCCAAACTCCCCGCACTCTAAACAACTCCCTGGTGTGGGTGATGGGGACTGAAAGGAGCCCCGAGGACCAGGATAACTGGTAGAAGGACCTGGCATAGACGAGCCCTGACCCGATAAAGCACGGGAAGAACTCTGAGCTGGAAGGGCACTGAGAGATAAGTGACCCTGCTGATAACAATGTGAACCATGGCCAGATGATGCACCACGGTGAACTGGGCGAGCCGTCTGAGCATGCCTATAAGGACGACCCCTGCCTTGGTAGAACTGACCCCCAGAAGGAACACCGCTGAATCCACCCTGTCCACGAGGCCTCTTGGCCTCCCTCTCACCAGGCTCTTGGCTGTGAACCATCTCAATGTGACGAGCAATGTTGACAACCACATCAAAAGTAGCACCAGACACTCTCTCTCTAGTCATAAGCAATCACAGCTGAAAAGTGAGGCCATCTATGAACCTCCTGATCCTCTCCTTGTCTGTAGGGACCAAACAGACAGCATGACGGGCCAACTCAGAAAATCTCATCTCATACAGCGTCACATACATATCACCCTGACGAAGCTGCTCGTACTGCCTGCGCAGCTCCTCTCTATGGGACTGAGGCACGAACTTCTCCAAGAAGAGAACGGAGAACTGCTTCCATGTAAAGGATGCTGTGCCGACCGGCCTACGCCTCTCATAAGCCTCCCACTAACTGAAGGCAGCCCCAGAGAACTGAAAAGTAGTGAACGAGACCCCACTGGTCTCTAGAATACCTGCTATACGGAGTATCCTCTGGCACTTATCCAAGAAGCCCTATACATCATATCCCTCTGTACCACTGAAAGATAGAGGCTGGAGTCTCCCAAACCTCTCCAATCTACACTGCTCATCATCAGGCATGACAGGAACCACATAATCCTGAATGACTGCAACAGGCTGGGCTGGTAGTACCCCCGGTGTTTGGAATCCCATTACCACCTGCTCTAGTGTGCGGGCTACGGGAGTCTGAGCACCTTCCCCGGCCTGAGAAGTGGTTGTTGCGGCCGGAATAGAGACCGCCTGAGCAAGACTGGTGCACGCGGTCAGAATCTGAGCTAAGGCCTCCTGAAGGCCTGTAATCACAATGGGCACGGGTGGTGCCTGAGCTGGTCTCATAGGCTCATCCACAACTGGAGCCTGCTCCTGAACTAGGGCAACTGGTGTATCTGCAGGTGCTGCCCTAACTGTTGTGCGAGCTACAACTCTGCCCCTACCGTAGCCCCTACCGCGACCTTAGCATCTCGCGGCCCCGATTGGTGGTGCTGGTGGCTGCCCATCATGCCCCATAGTACGTGTCCTCACCATCTGTGAGAGAATTAGAACAACAAAAATTTAGTTACCAGAATCAAAAGATTCACACGACAAGAATTCCAGAATGTGAAGTTTCCTAAGGGTTTGACAGCCTCTCGAAGATAAGTACAGACGTCTCCGTACTGATCCACAAGACTCTACTAAACCTGCTCATGACTCGTAAGGCCTATGTAACCTAGGCTCAGATACCAAATTGTCACAACCAAAATCTAACCTGTCGTGATGGCGCCTATCGATAGTACTAGGAAAGCCATCATTTCCAAATACTCCAAATATTTAACAGAAAAATAAATCATGACATTTGAAATAGGCAAAGTTTTCATAAACAGGGGGGTAAAACCCAAAACACAAGTGCAGAAATAGCTCCCAATATCGGGGTGTCACTAAACCATGAGCATCTATACATAATCAGTCTAGAAATGATACGATTGTAACGGTTTGGATCCAAATACAATGAAAGAAAGGATAAGGAAGGAGAAACAAGGAATGCGAACGCCAGGAAACTACCTCGATATCTCCAACGGTCAGCTACGCGAAATATTAACACTCTCCGCGTCTAAAAACTCCTAGATCTGCACACGAAGTGCAGGGTGTAGCGTGAGTATAACCAACTCAGTAAGTAACAATAATAAATAAGGAACTGAAAGATAGTGACGAACTACACAGTTATAATTCATTTTCAGTAGTCTCAACAAGAAAAATAGACATGCTTTCAAATCCAGCAAATTAAGTCAAATCAGTTTATTTGATCCAAATTCAAGTAAAAACCAGATAAAAGTATCCTTCAAAAGTTTTCCAAAATCAGTGATATATGGCATCTATGTGCAACAACAATGAAATCATATACAACCTCTCAAGGCAACAAGCACTCAGTCCTCCCATTCACTCCTACTTCACAATCACTCATTCCTCATAGCCACTCATTCCTCACAATCTCTCAGCACTCGACACTCACACTCAGTAGGTACCTGCACTCACTGGGGGTGCGTACAGACTCCGGTGGGGCTCCTTTAGCCCAAGCGCTATATCAAGCCAAATCATGGCATAAATCAATGAAAACATGTTGCGGCGTGCAGCCCGATCCCATAAATATCCTTTCAATCAGGCTCTCGGTCTCACTCAGTCAACAATCTCTCCAGTCTCTCAGGCTCTCAGAAATCAGAAAAATCAGCCAAAATAACAATAATATGATGTATCAACAAGAATAATAGAGACTGAGATATGATATATGAATAACACTGAGACTGAGTACAAATAGTATTTAGCATGTAATCCAACATGTAACATGGCCTCTGTAGGGCCCAACAGTACCAACACATAGCCTAATTATGCTCTCTAACATGATTCACAGTCAAATATCAATAACACATTAAGAGCATATAGTTAACAAAAAGTTTATTCAACTTCTCAGTTTCACGGAATGGACCAAGTCACAATTTCCACGATGCACGCCCACACGCCCATCACCTAGCATGTGCGTAACCTCTAAAAGAATCATATAACACCAAAGTTCGGGGTTTCATACCCTCAAGACTAGATTTAAAATTGTTACTTACCTCAATCCGAGCAAAACTCTACTATAATATGCCTTTGCCTTGCGAATCAGCCTCCAAATATCTCGAATCTAGCCATAAGAAGTACAATACAATCAATACGAACTAAAGGAAATCAACTCCACAAGAAAAATACGAAATTATAAGCCAAAATCCGAAATTGATCAAAAGCCGGACTCGGGCCCACGTATCGAAATCTGAAAAAAGTCACAAAACCTGAAAGCCCATTCACTCACGAGTCTAACCATACCAAATTTATCAAAATCCGACATCAAATGACAATTCAATTCCCCAAAATTAACTCTTCAAATCCCTATCCTTAAACCCCTAAATTTCACCTCAACACCACACAATCTAAGTGGGAACAACAATGGGGAACAAGATTATTGATTAAAAATGAGTACAAGAAGCTTACCTAAAAAATCCCCTCGAAAATCCTCTCCAAAATCGCTCAAGTCCGAGTTCAAAATGTTTAAATGAGACTAAAATCGCGAACCCTTGTTTTTAAACATTCTACCCAGGCTTTTCGCACTTGCGAGACCGCTTCTGCGATTATTACTCCACTTCTGCGGAAACCACTTAAGTCACTGGACTAGCACCTGCGCTCCAGGTTTCTGTCACGACCCAAAAATCTCACCAGTCATGATGGCGCCTATCTCAATACTAGGCAAGCCCAAAATCTTAATAAACCACCATATCCTTTACATTTGAAAACAAAATAATTAAATTCAGCGGAAGAAACCTCACAATACAAATATAATACTCCTAAAACCCGGTGTCACTTAGTACATGAGCATCTAATATGAATACAATGTCTGACTGATAAAAAAAACCATTGTCTGAAAGTATAGAACAGTACAATAACTAAAGGAAAGAGAGACAAGGTCAGTGGACGCCAGGCATCTACCCTGATAGTCTCCAACTGGTAACATACTGAGGTCTAACAGTCACCGTGTCCGGAAGCACATGGATCTGCACACAAGGTGCAGAGTGTAGTATGAGTACAACCAACTCAATAAGTAACAAGACTAACCTCTAGGCTGAAAGTAATGACGAGCTCCGCAGGTACAGTCCAGTATAAATAATGGTACAAAAATATAGGCATGCATTCAAGTTCAACAGTTAAACTCAGTACAAGTGAAATAGATCAATACTGCATGATATGAGGAATGTGACATCTCAGTAGAAAGACCTCATGTAAATACTGGTCACAAATTATCCGGTCACTCGGTACTGTTTATGGCCATTCCAGCCCAGGGGTGTTCCAACCCGTATATAAATACACATCGACTGACAGTCAGTCAACCAGTACCGTATAAGGCCAATCCATCCCTGGGATAATTTTATCCCCAAATATAACTGATACGGACAAAATCCATGTCCAGGTAAACTCATTACAATACAAATAAGTAAGGCAAGTCCATGCCGTGGGAAATCTATCCCGAATATATATAATCATCTACGCTCACTGGGGGTGTACAGACTCCGGAGGGGCTCCTTCAGCCCAAGCGTAATATAAAGCCAAGATGGCCTACTACAGGCGGGCAATCCCGATTCGTATAATAATAAAGCCTATAAGGTCTGCTGTAGGCGGGCAGCCCCGATCCATAAAATAGTAAAGCCTATAAGGCCCGCTATAGGAGGGCAGCCCCGATCCGTATAATAATAATGTATGAAGCCATTATGGCCTGCTGCGTCGCGCAGCTCGATCCCATAAATATCCTCACAATGGACAAATATTACTGAGTGTGAAATGTATATTTTTGAACAATAAATTCAACAGCAACACAACCCCATGGGTCCCAAAATATTGGCACGTAGCCTAAACATGATCTTTACTAGGAGCCTCAGCTCAATTTCTCTAACACGTGAAGAATGTTCAAATAATAACATGATTTATTAACCTTACAACTGTATAGGATTTATTCAAGACACAATTTATATGGTGCACGTCCACATGCTCGTTACCTATCATGTGTGTCACCTCCAAACAATTTATATCATACCAAATTCAGGGATTCATACCCTCAGAACTAAGTTTAGAAGTGTTACTTACTTCAAACCGTGTAATTCTTTACTCCGGTATGCCTTTGCCTCGTGAATTGGCCTCCAAACGCCTCAAATCTAGCCACAATTAATTCGATTCGGTCAATGAAATTTACTGGAATTAATTCCATAAGAAAATACTAATTTCCATAAAAATCCAAAAATTAGCTCAAAAATTGCCCATGGGGCCCATATATCGGAACTCGATAAAAGTTATAAAATCCGAAAGCCCATTCAACCATGAGTCTAACCATACCAATTTTACCAAAATCTGACCTCAACTCGACCTCCAAATCATCAAATCTATTTTTGAAATCCCTAAGTTCAAATTCCCAATTTACACCTCAAAAATATGTAATCTAGTCGGATTATTCGATGATAATTCAATATTATAGAGTAGAAATAAACACAAGGGACTTACCTCAAGATTTCCCATAATTTCTTGCTCAAAAATCGCCTCATCCGCTTTTGGAAATGTCAAAAATGACAAAATCTCAGACTCCTCTTTTTTTAACATTCTGTTGAGGATTTTCGCGCCCGCGATGATTTCTTCGCACCTGCGGTCTTCGCACCTACGGCAAAACTCTCGCGTCTGCAGTGTCCGCGCCTGCGATGGATTTCTTCACGCCTGCGGTCTTAGCACCCGCGGCAAAACTCTCGCGCCTGCGATGGATTTCTTCTGTGGTCTTCACACCCGCGGCAAAATTTTTCTCACCCGCGGTGCCTGGCCAGCCCATGCATTTTCGCTTTTGCGACTCATGCCTCGCTTCCATAAACTCGCACCTACGACCCTTTTTCGCACAGTTGCGATCATACCAGATGCCCAGCTGCTTCAACTCCTCCTCCAAATCCAAATTCGATCCGTTAAGCATCCGAACTCACCTGAGGCCCCCCGAGACCGCAACCAAATACACCAACAAGTCCTAAAACATCATACGAACTTAGTCGAGCCTTCAAATCACATCAAACAATGCCAAAAATATGAATCACCCATAGATTCAATCCTAATGAACTTCAAAACTT